ATTTGTGGCGGAATAATTTAGCAGTGTACCTAAAAAATAATGAGATAAATAAATAATATAATTTTGTGTAAACTATATAAACCTCTAATATATCTTATTAAAATATTATGTAGTTTTCCCGTTTCTTAGTAAAATTATACTTTAGATTTTATAAATATACATTACATCGATAATGTAAATTTACATTTTGGGTAAATTATACAAAAAGTGTAAAATTCCATGCTCAATACCTATAACCGTTGAGTGAGAAACTATATCCCACTCAACGATACAAGTTTACTTGTATGATGTAATTTTACATAAAATTTATCCAGAACGGGGTATATACCAAGCTTAGACGTTTGTATTTTGTTTGCATAAAACATTGTAAAGAATATATTAGAAGACTATTTTAATTTTATGAGGTTTGGTGAATTTGTCTAGATTTGTCTTTTCAAAAATATAAAGTATGTCACTATTTCGTATCATATACCATAAATCAATGTAGCCGATATAGCTAAAGATTACCGACAAGAAACTCCAGAAAATTATTGTTTGTCTAGATGAGTAAAAAGAGAAATAGCAACGTCATATATATTTCTAACGATACCAAAGGAAAAATGTGATATTATGTTTTTTTTATTTCCAATATCTCCGTTTTTTCTGTAGTCACGTGACCAAATCACTTCACAATTACGATGACACCGAATGCAGTAATTTTAGAAGCATTGAAATGGTATAAGAATTGAAAAATTTCAATTTACTTCCACGCATGTTAATTTTTGTTGATTAATTTCTTTCATATCAGCGCAAAATTTCAAAGGCCTGCGAGTATAATTCCATCATCTTTGGTCCGATTTTAAGAAACACAAAATTTAAGAAAAAAAAAATGGGCTCTAAACATATTACAAACTAGCACATTTTAACCTCATTTTTCAAGGCCTGGATTAATGACAGGCGATTGTCAATTGTTTTTTTCGAATAGAACCGTATATTTTCTTGCATTTAATCTCATAGAAAAGATATAATGGTAACTTGAATTTCCGATACACGGGATGTTTTTTTTTTTTATAATTTCATAATAATAGCTTAAAGGTAGAAACATATAAGTCATATACGTGGTAACAATATGTTTGTATCTTAAATGACATGTTGATTTCATTGTTTTCATTTGACAATTTTGTTAGAGAGCTACGATTTATGAGTATTTAAGTAGTTAAATATGTTTGCGTTAATTGCGGTATTTAGCGAAACAAAATCACTTGCCTAATATAATATAAACACAATAAAGCAGCAAAACGTTTTACCCCCGATAACTAATAAAAAACAAACATCTCTGCGTACAATTCCGGCTTTATTACGAGCGAGTAAAATAATGCGGCCTGCAAGAGAGCCCCTAGATTATTTTTTCAAACTTCAGCCTTACGTTTTTAATATGTTTTAGTCGAATATATCTTCGTAAGCCTCTGATTTATTTCTGTGATTAAATCAAAATTAAATTATGTCCGTAAAGAAAAAATATGGTTTTAGTGAATTGAAATCTGCTCCATTTTCAAAGCATTTTAGTTTAAATATGCATGACTGGGCTATTAAAAAAGCACAACGTATGTAAACTAGCACAATGTTGATAAACATATAAATTAAAAATAATAAAATTAAGTAGGTACTAAATTAAAATGTTTGACGTGGTTGTCACACTTTTATTGTATTTTTTACAAATAATCAATTTCGACTAATTCGGCATAAAATTTTAAGTTTTAGTCAAAATTTATTCAAAATTCAACAAAAGTCTGACAAAAATGTCATACGTTTAAGCTTTCATTAATCCTACCTTTAAAATTCTTGGTTACATGAAAAAAATCACGCGCAGATTGAATTTTTTGATGCGAACCCTTCTATGAAATTTTTTAAGACCGGTCCTGGAATTTTTTAATGTCTTAGAATGTTAGTCAGAATGTTAGAGTGTTAGAATGTTAGCCAACAGTGTATGGTTTCACTAGAAATTAAGAAAAAAAAGTAGACATTTTTTAATGATCATGTGATATGACTTGTTTATTGCAAAAATTTGTAAAATTCCTCGAAAACCACCCTGTATAACATTAACGAGACTATCAAATACAGGGTTATAAATATCTCTAATAATTGGCATCAACAGATTTCACTTCAAAATGTTAGAGTAGAAATGATCAAAACTGGCGGAATACGACAATCTGTTATAAACTAACAAGAAATGTATTTTAGTATATTCTCGAATTTCCTGAAATTCTCTGGTTAATCTAATGTAACTAAAGATTGTGGAGATGCGCAAATATACTGATACATTCTGAATATTCATATCTAATCATTTTTAGATTGGATTTTGGAAAGTTTGTAGTTTGGCGGTTGTAAACTCTCGCTTTGCAAGGAACAAAGCATAACTCTAGAAGCTTTATTTGATCTGTAGAACTTGATATAATATAATTTAGGGATTGGTTTAAGCGCGGATTATAGTTCGTATTTATTATATATATCTGCGTTCATCTACATTTGATTACTTACTATTTGAAGAGGAGCCAGAATGCCCTTATTTGAAAATATTAATACATACCTATACATCTAATGTTTATTTAATGTGGCTAAATATACATTATGTCCACGCATAGGGTTGAAAATGGGATAAACTTTTATTTTATACTTTGGGAAAAACGTAATTCTTGAAAAAAAATTCCGAGTCTGTTTAAGTTTGCCATTGATAAATAATACATTGCTATAAAAATCGAAAACTTAAGGCTGCGACTTAATATTTTTGTTTTAATTTAAGGAGACCTTTTATTTTAAAGCACCTTAAACTTAATAGTAAAGTTATTGAAGCTGAAAATCAGCTGCAACCTCCGAATTCTTTGAAACTGCATGGATTTGCATGAAAATTTAGAATAAGGCTCATCTTAGGCTCAAGTGAAATAAGCCCGTTTGACGCTTTTTGTTTTTTAGGGGTAAAAACTACCCCTAAGTGAAAAAAATTTAAAAAATTAAGTTTTATGCAAAAATCTTGTTCAAGCACAAATATTAAATAATGTTCCATGTTCTTGAACATGTTTTATGATATATTTGATCTTTTCGACCCTTTATTTAACCTTAAAAACTACCCCTATACAAAAAATATTGTTAAAAAATTACTTTTTAAAGAATTGGAATGATTAAATCGTGCAATTATTTAAAATAAAAGTTACCTTATAGCTAATAAAGAATTTTTCCCTTTCGATCCCTAAAAATCATCCCTGTATTGACAGAAATGATGAAACATTACTTTTTAAAAACTTGGAATGCTTTAACGGTGCAATTATTTAAAATAAAAATTCCCTCAGTGCTTATGAACGAATTTGTATCTCATAACACGTTTCAACCCTTATAAATCACCCATGTGCTAAAAAAATGATAAAAAATTACGTTTTAAATCTTGGAATGCTATAATTGTGCAATAATTTAAAATAAAAATTCCCTTATATTGTTTATGAAAGAATTTATGGAAGAATGTTTTTTACTTTTGCCATTTTCAACTCTTATAAACTACCATTTTACCAATATTAATGTAAAATATTTTTATTACAGTCGATTTTTAAATATAATCAATCATAAAAAAAATTGCGACGCTGCATATAAACTTTTATACACGCTGACGCGCATTTGAATCCCAACATTTTGCTCCAAAAATGAGAAAGCCTATTTTGCTCCGAAAAATGTCATTGGTTTTTTTACCAAAACTCGGTTAATTTTGAAGCTAAAAAGCATTTTGAAGATAATTTCAAGAGCTGTAAGATCGTTTGCATATAAAACCTTTTAAGTCCTTCGTTTTTTAAAGGGAAAGGATCGAAGGGCTCCAGACAGGTCGTTTTTTCACTAAAGTGGATACTTCAAGGGACGATATCTCCTTTATTTTTAATGCAATAGGAATAAAAAAAGCAAAATATTTGTTAAAAAAAAGCTAAATTTTTGTTTATCATTTTTTACGTATCTTTCATAGTTTCAGAGTTATTATATAAATAAGGCAATTTTTTTGAATAATGAAACATACGTTTTCAACTTTTACCGTACAATATTAAAAAAATACGCATTCTAAACCGGTATAACTTCAGAATCGTATGAAAAACACTAAAACAAATTATAAAAGGTCTACGATTAATTTTAATTCTGATGGAAGTGGTACAGCGCTTAATGTTTATTTTTCCTTAAAAAATATGAGCAACCCATCTGTTTTTGACGATAACTCCTTCAATTTTGCTCTAATTAACTTTTATAAGTGCTCATTTTGAAGGTCTTTTTGAGTAAGTACTACAAAAAACTCCAGGAGCGTTATACGTTAAAATTAATCCTTTTTCCGTTATTTGACGTTGAATACATCGATTCGAGGATTCCCCCCAAAACAAGTCCTCTTCCACTATCCATATTTCGCATTGTATAGAACATACAACACTTTTTAAAAAACGATTTTCATTGTTTATTTATAAGCTACATTTTTGTTCATTACACTTTTTTTAAATAAAATGCGTAGTTTTTGAGTTATTCGCGAAAAATACCTTGAAAAAGTGTTTTTTTTTTCACTCAAAATTCCAAGTTTTCAATTGTGAATAACTAAAAAACTATTGATTTCTCAAAAAAATTCTTCGAATATTTTTTGCTCAAAATTTGATTCTCTGTCGATTTCCAGCATTACTTTTGAAAAAAATTCCACCCTCGAGAACCCCCAACAGGGTGGAAGCGTCAATCGGCGCTATGTCACTAATGTTCATTGACCCTTTCTCTGTCTGCCAAATTTCAAGTCGATCGGTTCAGTTTCAAAGAATTCGGAGGTGAAAAGCTTCAATGACTATAATGTACTATAAGTTGCAAGTGCCTGAAAGTATAATAACCTAGAAATCCACTGAAAATAGGACACCCTGTATTTATTAAATACTTTTTAGTAATTGATTAATTAAATATAGACAATGAATAGCATTGATTTGTTTCTAAAATAAGGGTATAGGTACTATTTCTACGTCACTTACCGCAGTCGGTATCGAAGGACTTGTTGATGGAACTCTGCCTGTTGGTGCGGTTCCTGTTGGTCCTTGACCTCCTGGAGTTCAGCGTGCTGAATCCTGCCACGCTGGGACTGGCGGTATACTGGCCTGAAAAGAAACTGAAGTTCAAGGCACACATTTATAAGCGATAGAAAAATTTCGCGCTTTTCGGTCAGCTTTAAAAATAAACGAAAAGGAAATTCCGATGGATCTCGGCATACGGATTTAATTCTACGTTCTGTTTATAAATAAGATATACAGGGTGACTCGGTAAACTTCATGCGGATTAAAATTTGTGGAGAGTAAAGAAGAGTAAGAAAAAATGTCATAGGGGTTGATTATTTCAACCCCTTACAAAAATAGTTCAGGGTTGAAAAAAATTCAAAAAGTGTAGTTTTATTGACAGATAATGTTCACCAAGTTTGGTTTCTTTAGCTTGATGTACGTGGAAGATAAAAAAGAAAAACAATTTTTTTTTGTAATTTTAGGAGGGGCGTAACTTTTCAGGGNAACTGTTTTAAAATTCAGTTGCAAAATATGACCCATACTAACAAGGCAAGTTAAATAAAAGCTTGTAAAAATATGATAAATGGCACACGAAAAAGGTGCATGTTCATAAAAAAAACAATTTGAATTAGAAACGCTCGTTTGGAACGCGAAGAGACACTAAAACGCTAGCTATTGTATAACTAAGGCCTCTTACAATAGTAAATCGGCCGTACATGGAGGCACAAAGAATGACTCAGAACCCCAATCCGGAAAAATCCGGGGGTTTTCTCTTTTGATATATGAAATTGACACTCCTGTCCGCATTTTCCAACTTTCAATAGTGCAGGATCTCTTGGGATCACAACTATTTCGATAATTTACGATTGATGTGATTTGAAATCGATGGAAATTGCAAGACGTTTTTGCTAAAACAATAAAAACATGCAACTTTCAAAAAATGAGGTTCTAAATGAGCAAATGTATTCTACTTAACTCCAGGAACACCCTCTCTATTGCACACAACGATTCGTACTCTAGTAAAAATTTGCACGTATTTTCAATTCACCGCTTTTCGAGGGGTCAGTGGAAAGTGAAATATGCTAATGTGTCGCAGCATACTTCCGATAGTTGCTGTGGTCTATACACATGGGCCAGCTCTCTGCCACTTTAAAGAACTACGCAATGACTCCTTCTCTAGCATATTCTGAAGTATTAACGCAAACCAACGACTTTGAGATTTCGACTTTTGTCCAGCTTTTTCGGAATTCCGACCACTGTGCATTGTAAGAAAATGACCGGTGAAATAGAGCAGTCTTGTGCTTTGGAACGCAAAAGTTACAACGGTTACGCGTGGGCAAATAGTGCACATCAAAATTCGTAATGAGCTTTGAGGTTAAATATTCAGATTTATGATTATTAAAATTATGATTATGATTATGAAATTAAAAAATTTTCAAAATCAAATTTCTAAAAATCTAAAGCCTTTGAATACTTGAAAATTTCACAAAAAGAAGAGCTCTCAAGCTTTAAAATGATTTTTGAAAAATTCAAATCGGACTATTAGGTGAGCCGTGGTAATTGTTTAAACATTTTCGCAATTTTCACGCTTAAAAAAATTGCAATAATTTAATGTTTTTTTCAAATTTTTTTAATTTTAAAATATGGTTTCAAAGTACTCGGAAAGACGAGTATTTAAAAAAAAAACTGATGATCCGCCCATTATTTTCGGAGCTATAGCCCGTTAAAGTTAATCCTTATTTACAGCAAAACTATAAGGGTATAAGGGCTGTTATTTGAACTAATAGGTTTGTCATTCCGAGTACTTTCCAGATATAAATTTTCAAAATTTGCAATCATGGGCGTCCCATTTAAAATGTCACTCAAAGATATTCAAGACCGCGTGAAATCAATGAAATATCAGAGGTGGGGGGAGCAGACACACAGCTACTCCGATCTGAATTCTCGAGTTCAAAAATGCTCTGAATATTGCACCCATTGCCAAGGGCAAATGTGTAAAAATGCTTACAAAACAGTTGAAGTAGACGAGTTCGAAATCGATTTTGAAGAAGACATGTCAGAAGAAAGTGCAAGTGAACTCGACAATCACATTTCAGAGTCGTTAGAAAATGATATTTTGCAGTTGCAGGACGAGGAAATCGACGACGAAATAGATTGTGATAATACTGATGAGGCATGTGAAAAATCACCAACTAGTAAAAGAATTAGATTA